GCAACATCTTCCACCTTGTACTTTTAGGCCTGGGAGCTGCCAGGGGCACCTGACTTCTGCAGATGCACAGTGGGAAAAAACAACACAAGGGGAAAAAACAACACAAGGAAAAAACAAGGAAAAAAAAAAAAAACAAACCAGGGAGAGAACACTGGTGTCCATAAAGAGGATGAGTAAAACTGCACAATAATGTAGCAGCTTAAAATTAGAAAAAAAAATAGAAATTGCTAGGAAAGATTTAGTCATAATCCTTTCAAAAACCTGAGGCAATTAGACAAAGCCAGAATTACCAGCAAAGTTGACAAAGGATTTGATGAATGTGCAGCTTAGCTTACAGAGACAAAGACACTGTGTAGGTCCATTGAGCCTAATGGAGCTGCTCCAAGGCTAGCCTCTGCTAGCGATGAATAGTGGTAAAAACCCCTCATATTTCACGGATTACCTAAGATAAGCAATGTAAACACAGTCCATTACCCACCCCTGATCAAGTTTATAGTCCTTCTTCATTGACCATTACCTAAGGATCTTGGCAGGCAGAAAAATAGAGCACAAGCGGTGTTGGTGGTGGAGAGGGCATTGACAGAACCTGGTGTCTGAGTGTTCCTGTAGATCTCGCTGCGATGAGCTAGGGCTTGGAGTCTGAATACCCCATGGCTATTTCTACTGTCCCTGTTCAGGCAAGGGAAGCTGTGAAATCTCACATGTGTACAAAGTTTAATTAAAAGGCACTCCATTCCGAGTTTTGCTAAGTAACAGAACTCTACACTGGGTTTTCTCTTTCCATCTCTGACTCAGAGCCTGCTCTCTTACTAGTGGGTGTCAGCGCATTTTGGAAGTTAGATAAATATGCAGTCTGTCTGGATACTGAACCTTTTCTGTTCCTAACACCTGCAGGGATGTGATTTCCACACGTGTGGATGCAGACAGAAGGAGAAAGTCACCTCCACTGGGGGAGATGGGAAGCTGAGAACATGAAGTTCCAGCAGTTGCTGTCCTACCGATTCACTCCATAACCTTGGCACGGCATTTCACTTCATCTGTAACCTGAGGGTAGAGAGATCAGCTCTTGCTGAATTAGTTAGTAATACCTTCAACACTTAGGTTTCTTAAGTGCAGGGGACTGAAACAGAATCTTCATCACATGGACAACTTTCAGATGCCTCAGGTTTCATGACAGTTCAAGAAACTGAGATTTCAAATTAATAGATTGATAAAGATTAATAAAAGTTCTTCATGTGTTTTGATCCAACTGTTGTATTACACCCCAGAGGTCCCTCCTTGTGCCATTCAGATGCAAAGCACAAAGCGAGGTGGTAACAAATGTAAGCCATACAATTGGGAAAACACGGGAATTCGGTCAACTGTACAGTGACAGGAGTAGCTTGGTGATGGCCGGTGTGACATCCATCATGGATTGTTCTTCTTGTTGTGAAGAAAATGAGGACCCAGATTAGTGTTTACAAGACACAAGTATCAGATGAACACAATCACAAATGTAACCATGGGCTGAAAACCAAAGTGACTGTTAAATATTTTCTTCGTATTCTTTCTCTGACTATTATTGGAGGTACAGTTCAACAGTGCAATTTTAAGCTGTGTTGCAAAGTAGCAGGCTAAATTCCCTTTGTATTCAAAGTAGGCTCCTCTGGAACTCTATTAATCTTGCCTGTTTTCAGTGTCTATGTTATTATGAGGAGCATCTTAGTGTAAAAGTGCCAGCCTCTGCCTCTCTCTGCTGAGAATGAAAGTTTGAGGCAATTACCTTGGATGTGGGGAGTCTATTGCAGATATCTGACATTAAGGGAGAAGAATTCCTTCTCTCTTTTAGCTTTTTCATTACACGATCTCCATCTACCCTTCAAAGTAAAATACTTGCAAAATGAGCACACAAGGAGGAACTGTAGAAGGAACATGGAAACTTCAGGATAGTTTTAAATATGATGGTTCAACAGTCTTGTTTTGTATCAACATAAATAACCTAATAATTGAGGACTTGAGGATTTGGTGACCGAAGAACTCTAACCAAGGGAGATAAAAATAGTTTCAAAACTGCCTAGTCTTTCCTTGCTTGTCAAAGACCTGCTTCCAGAATTAGATGGTAGTGAATACGCGTGGCAGAATTTGATTCTTACAAAGGAAACCCATTAACAGATTTCTGCTTCAGAAGGCATGCAGTCAGTTTTCCTGCTTTTCAGGGCAGATGTAGAAATCAGATCCAAACATAATAAATTTGTGCATGCTCTGGGAGTCACTGGGTGGGACTGTGTCCTGTGATATGCAATCTCACTGGGGGATCTAATCCCTCTGCTCTGTGACTTCCCCACTGCACCAAACCTGTTGAAGCAATGCCCAAGGGCTTCAGGAGTGGGACACATCCCAAGGTGTTCGTTTTTCAAGGGAACTCAGAGTCAGTTTTGTAATGATCCCTCTGCCGCAAGCACTCCGCATGGACAGTGACCTGCTCCAAGGTAATTTTTTTTTCTCCACGACCATGAAGAGGAGGATTCCTCTTCCTGTCAAACAATTAGTGGCCTGTCATTAGTGACATCTATACCTGTGGCTTGGTATTTTGAAAGCCTTTGTTTCAGAGGCCAGAAGGGAGTGGGAGAGCCTCCTGCTGCTGTTATGCTCAGGGGTTGTTACCATAGCCGTGCATGGGGGCACCTGGTCCATGATGGGAGAGGGGTGTCCGGCTGATATCTCCCTCGTCCTGCTCTATTTTCTTCTGCTGCCTTTAGGCTGATAAGCAGAGATAACATTACGGAAAGAACAAAGCAAATTCATCTTTTTTGCATTCTTCCCTGCTCTGTCAGAGTTGTAAGAATTTTTCTGCTTTCCATCCAGTGGTTTTAAAACAGTTAATCTCATAAATATAATCTCGGATTAATAGCAGAAGTGGTTTATCCTGATTTGGTAGGTCACATTGGGTCCTTATGTGGGTGCATGAGTGTGGCCTAAAGGCAGTACAAATTGGCATTGTGAATCATGTACTGCACTGTCCTGGGTCTCTCTCAGTTGTTTCTTGTCTCTTCCACAGGAAGAAAAAAATCCCCTTTGAGTTCTTTAAATGCCATGCAAAAAAAAAAAAAAAAAAAAAAAAAAAAAAAAGAAATAACATATGATCCTGTTGACTAAGGACATATTTTAAAGCCAAAAAGGTACTTAAAACCTGAGCTGAAATCACTGTACCTCCTCTGGGCTGATGCACTTTCATGCTTCTGTGGAGGTCTTCAGTACCTTGCAGGACTGGGCTTTGACAATAGATAGTTTTACTGCACTAAAAATTGCAAGGGGCAGGCAGCAGTAAGAGAGACCTCAGGCCATTCCAGTCATGAGGGATGCATTGATTTATTCCCAGAATAAATCGAGTAACAAAACAATACATGTTGCATAGGAGATGAACATCTCTGTCATAACCTTCCTGGCCAGGGGGAATTTCTGCAACTTGCAGTGTTGTTCTTCTCTTCCCACCATGCTTGTGATCATCCTTTTTATTAAAACTTCCATGCTCTGGGCTATTGGCATCCAGCTCATAAATTCAAAAGATATTTTTCTAGAGGAATCCAAATGAAACTGGTTTAACTCTGTTTGACTTCTCTCCAAATGAAATGCTGTGAAACCTTGTCTTTTTGTAGTTATGCTCTTATTCTACATTGTCTTGCTGTGGTTTATTTGCAGTAAGCAGCTCATCAGCAGTACTCAAGGGTTTCACTGAATCTGTGTCTCTTTACTGATGTGGGAGGGGTAAAAAGAAGAGAAAGCAAGCAGTACATGCTCTCATGTAAGCACTATGGAGTCTGCGTACACAAAAGACAAATATTTTAGCCATATTCAAGTACAGAGAAAATGATGTCTTCTTGCAGAAGAGTAGAACATTTATGATAGTGAGGATTGAGGCAGTGGAAGATTGAAAATACAAATTAATTTCATAATTTGTCTATTTCTGTTGGCCTACCCAAGAAAATATGTAGTGACAAACTAAAGGTAACTAACTTGAAACCATAAATGAAGAATTGCCTTTTAAGCAACAACAAAAGAATAATGAGAAAAGATCAGTGTTCAAATCCTACTGCCTCTGTGAATCGCAGCAAACCACGATTCCCTTAAAGATACCTGTGAGAGCTCTGCAAAATCTTCAAAGCTTATTTTAAGGGGAAACATAGTTACGAACTAGTGAACCGGTGACTGCTTCTAATACTGCTTTGAGAAGTGCTTTCCACCCTTCTGTAAGTCTGCTGCCTCTTTGGAGCGGTTTTTTTCTAAATTCATAGCAACTTCAGATTATCTTGATCAGAAGTGAATGTTTGCACTGAAGCTTTTTCCTTTACTGAAACACTTTGGGATGTAGCCTCTGTTGAAAGCACATTGATGTTACAAAGCCTTGTGAAAGGATGGCACATTTCCTGCAGCTCACTGCTTTTGCACCATCTGGCAATTGAAATCTTCTCATCACCAAAGAGGTTTTAGAAGGCATAATGCAGCCACACTTGTCTTTCAAACTAGATCCAGTGGGGTCAGTTCTTAGGAAACAAGATTAAAACCTTTGAGTAACCTTCAGATGCATTCAGTCCCTGGTGTGTGTTTTGTTCTTTAGGCCAGGTATTTAATCGCCACCAGGCATCCTGGTGGTGTAGCCTTTTGGGGACCATTTAGTTACTCCTGGTGATAGCGTCTATCAACAGCTGCCCATTGCAAAATGAAATTACAGTCTCCAGGCTCAGAAAAAGTGTTTGGTAAAATTTTGCGGTGTTAAGCTCTGGTGCAGCTTCATAAAGGCAATAATTCATGTGCTGTTGCTATGGGAAGTGTTCCACACCAAGCCCCAGCCTCTCCAAGTGTACGGCAGTGACCTGTATTCGATCCCACGACGCGGTGTTATGGGCTGTGTCTCGCTGGTTTACTGCTCTCAGCATTAGACAATTTTGGTTTATCAGACTGCAAAGCGGGACCTGGGATTACTGGCTGGCTATAAAACATTTTGCTGCTTTTATTGTTCTCAGGGTGGAACCTGCACTTACCCGGATCAAGGAAGATCGAAAGCGGATCATCTTACCAGCAATTGACAATATCAAGTACAACACTTTCGAAGTGCAGCAATACGCCAACGCAGCCCACGGCTATAACTGGGGCCTCTGGTGCATGTACATAATCCCACCACAGGACTGGCTCGATAAAGGAGATGAGTCAGCTCCCATCAGGTAAATCTCCCATGTGCTGTCACTTAGGTACTAGCAATGTTTCCATCTCAGCTGTCTGCCACGGGGGAATGTAATGGCAAAATGAAACTGAAGAAAATAGGTGGCTCTACAAAGCCGTGGATGCACGTGTCGCATCTCGGAGCTGCACCACAACGTACACAGAAGTGCAGGTGCTCCAGTGGTGAATGTGTGGTTCACATTCACATCGTGGCCCTTAGTAGGACAGCAGAATCTTTTTCATCTATGCTTTTATTTTCTTGTGGACTCTGGGATGAGTAATAAGCTAGCGCAACTTTGCATGTATGAGAAACGAAAGTATTTTGTGCGTGATTACAAAGAGGGTGGCTTGACTTTTGATCTGTAGGTAGCCCTCTTGGGCATCAGCCCAAACCAGCAGCACTAGCAGGAGATGTGTTAGCCTTGCCTTGTTGGAGAGTTGTTCTTTTTTTGGAGAACTTTGCACTTGTTCTGAGTTTTCCCACTGGATGAATTTTAAAATGAAACCGGACCACATAGTCAGTGTCTTTTTTTTTCTTTTTTTTTTTTGAAGGAAATTATTTTTTGAGTTTTTGAGAACTGCTACGTGGAAAAACAAACTGATAAGAAAGGGGCTTGCTTTCCCCTTCATTTGGAAATTTGTATCTCCTAGCCCTTCATCTCCAGTGCACATGCTTATCTAACAGCTCCTCTGAGAGGTACTGTGCTGGGTGAAGGGTACTATTGTTAGCAACTATTGAAATAAATGCTAAAAAATATGAAGCCCAGGTATGCACTTTAGGTTCTGCCTTATTTTTTGAGATTTCTTAGGAACCACCTTAGAGTCATCTTCACTTTGTTGTATATCAGCTTCATCCTAGAGTAAGCTAAAACTCTATTGTATGGTCCCAATGTGAGCTCTGTCAGAGAAGCTGATATTCTTCCCTTACAGTGTAGAGCATGAGTTGTCAGGTCCTGAGAGGTCCATTCAAGCACTTCAAACGTCATACCCAAGTGAAAGGATCCAAGTGGTCTTTTGGAAGTGAAAGGACCCAGATAAACTGATCACATTTCTAAGTGATCTGTTGGATGGGGCCATCTCACAGGATCTGTCCCTGATACTCAGGGTAATATTTCAACCTATATTTGAGCAAGTGCTGCAAGTCACACTTAGGTTCATTCTCATGCCCTGTGACTGCAAAACAGTTATACGCTAACATTAACCTTATTTACTAGAAGACAGCACAGTCCTTCATCACTGAGCCTTTGCGCAGCTTGAAACCTCAATAAGCAGGAGAGTAATTACTTAGGAAATCAGTTCTCCTGGATAACGTGCCCTGCTCTCCTCACTTTGTTCTAGAAGTGCAGGTGTTTTATATCTGTTTCGCTCAGCCCTGGGAAATAGTTTATTGATGAAAGAAAATTAATCAGCCAGTGCTTTCATTCCTGAAATCAGGGTTTCAGTCTTTTATTCCTGAAAGGTTTTGCACACTTCATTACTTCCAGTTTATATGTGAAATCACTGTATTAATTTTCGGATGAGTTGTTCTGGTATTTTGGTATCTTCTGTTCTGAAGGCAATGGTCAGATAAGACTGAGCTAAGAGATTAAACCTCAGCAAGTTCTTGGATTTTTCAGTGGTGGTAGCTCATGCACTCCTTAAAGTATGGAAGCTGCATCTGAAAAACCCTTCTGGAAATTCAACTACAGAACTTTTTAACAGAGAATAAGGACTCCCATCCCTGTAATGCTGGGATAAGAGGATTTTTTTCAGCAATACAGGGCCTGATTTACCATGGGCTTTCCGCAGGTTTATGTTCGAGCTCTTGTTGGACTTATACTGACAGTGAGTTGGACTGATACAGAAATGAATCTGGTCCAAATTCAAGCACTGAGTAGCATTGAAATCTGGTGCACATAAGTAGCTGGCTCCTGAGAGCAGCAATTTTATTCTAAATCTGAGTGAAGAGGACACCCTCCAATTCAGCAGTGCATAAACTGCCCTGAGACAGATGAGACAAGCAGCACAAGGAGGAGAGCACCAAACCCTTGCTGACAAATATCAGGAGCGCAGAGACACTGTGATTGCATAAGTATCTCTCCTGCAAATTATGAATTACATGCCCGAAAATGCAGAGGCATCAACGTCAAACCATGAACCACTTACTTGTCTCCCTGGGAATCTGTGCTCTGATGGCAGTGATCTAGGAGAGCAGAGCATCCCCTTCAGAGCCACACTGCACTGATTTCTTGCGTGCCTCTGGAGCAGTAGCACCTGGATGGATTTGCTAAAGCATTTGGCTGTGCTGTTGTGTGCTGTTATGGTGTGCTTGCCTATAGAAATGCAATGCGATTTTGTGGATTTTAAGTGATATTCCAGCATAATTGTGGCAATGGAAAGAGTCAATATGTGAATGTTATTGATTAAAAGCGTCAGGAAGTCTGTACTTAGAATTGAGATTTGAGAGCACCCAAGGTGGGAACTTAGTAGCTGTAAAAAAATTTAAGTATATTTTCAAAAAGAAGGAGAAGTCAGACTAGTGAGCAAACTTTTTCAAAAATCTCTGTTGGTTTGGTACAGATTTTAGTTTTGTAACCAGCTTTCCAAACCATGTACTACAACCATGATTTTATTTCAGTGCAGTTTGCGAGGCATGCGAGCTGGTCCACATTGGTGTCTGGATGCGTGTTCAGTGCATTCATAAGATTGCAGGACTGTTCACCAGCACGAAAACTGCAAGTACATTTAGTCCTTGCTGACACTGTCCCTCTTAAGGCTTCCTTTGACACTGCCTTCATCAAATAGTGCTTTTGTTTTGTGCCTCTCTGTGTGTTTTGTTAAAGAAAAGGCTAATAACTAATAACCCCCCGACTGGTGTTGTGGTTGGTGTAGCTGAAATCTTCCTCCCAGATCTCCAAAGGGATTAAAGATTTTCAGTGTTAAAAACAGTGCGTACCCTGGTGTCAGTGAGGATCAGAGCCCTGGCATTTCTGATGTTTGTACTATATGAGTAAATACCGTCGATCGGCAGAATTGGGTGAGACATTTAGAAAGTAGAGTCCAGTTCCTGTTTTCTTCTGGGATTACACAACAGATGTGCTTCTTTTCTACAGAAGTTTTCTATTTGAAGCCTGATCCTCTGCTTCTTTGAACACTAACAGTGGTGTGATCCTACTCAGAGCCTTGCTGGGAAGGAGCAGGATCTGTCCCTCAAGTCAGTGGGGTGCTGTATAGGCAGTCCTGTGAAGTGCACACCGTAAAATGTCAGATCAGCTGTTGTGGTCCAAGTAACAAAGGGGATGTGGCCTTGAAGTGCAAACAAAGGTAAAGAAATGGCAAGAACAAAGTGACAGATTTTTTAAAGATTTCTGATACAGTTTAAAGTCAGTTCTTTTTTTCCACATTAATACTCTGAAATTCAGAACAACTGATGTTCCTCGAATCCGCTTCTGCAGCAATCCATTTTGCGTGTTTGACATTTGAGATGTAAGATGTCTCTAATGTGAAGATCTAAATGAGGATTGTTATTTTGACACGCTGTGTCCATCGCGTCATTTTCCATTTGTGTTTCGGAGAACACAGTGCCCAAAAACATCCTTATCATCCGGCAACAAACTGTGTAACGAACGATCCTATTTCAGAGGGTTTCTAGTGACTTTGCATTGAAATGAGATGGGTTTTTTCCCGTATGCAGAAGATGCTACTGGTTTTTTGGAACAGCAAGGAAGATTTCTGGTATCCTGAGCTCCAGCTCTGGCTTGTCTTCCCTCACCTGCCGTGGTTATGATGGACTGCTCTGTGTTGGATTTCTCGATCAGCAGCCACTAACATTAGAGACATCAGCCAGGCTCACTCAGCTAAGCGCTGCACAGCTTTCCATTTTATCTTCTTCCGGCAGCAGTGGTGCATTTCATTGTTGCATATGTTCTCACTCATTGCTTTAATACGCCATAGCTTGGTACCAGGAGGAATGTGTACGTTCACGCACTGAATCAGCCACTCCAGAAAGCCCATGTGTCTCACTCATGTATATAAATTAGCACCTGACGCGCCCACAGTGAAGTGGTTTGTGCTGCGCCCTTCAGCTGGGAGTGTCGGTGCCCATCTCATGTGCACATCGTGCCCTGTGCTGGTCTGTTGTAGCGATGGTGATGCAGCCGTGCTGGGTCTTCACTGCTCTGGGAAGAAATCCATCTGTGTACCTGAGCTTAGGAAAGGGCTCATCTGTAAAGTCTTTCAGGATAAACCATACTGTCACGTAATAATAAAACCAGTGACTGTTTTATTGATTATGGACATCTTTTCAGTTGCTGGTTCACAGGAGCCTGTAACAGAGCAATTTCTTTTTTATTTGTCCAGGTTCTGATGGGTATCCTGTCTGTTCCAAAAAATATACTTCTGTGGGGCATCAGAGAGTTATTCTGCATGTTTATTGCCCTGCCTTTCCTAGCCAGAGTTCTGGGTTGCTTTTTTTCCCATGCTGTAGCTTTCCGAAGGGGATAACGAACCTTCCTATCATGAAGCTTGTCAGTTTTTTTTCCTGTTGCTCCTGAGGAGCAATCCTGCCCTTGAGTTCTGTTCTCATGTCCTGGCGTGACTCTTTCTTGCAGGAGACATGAGTGTAAGGGAAAAAAAGTGCTTATGCAGGTACCATGCATGTTTTCCCACTTATCTGTCAGGCCAGGGGTGAGGTGCTGCTTAGGAACCAGAATCAAGGAAATATTTTGTCAGGAAAGGTGGAAAACTCAAAGACGTGGGGTGTGATGTGTCATTTGAATCTCTTTCTCTCTCTCTCCTTATCCCTATATATACATTTATATTTATAGATTTATTTGTAGTTATATTTGTGTTTGTATTTATGTATTTCCATGGGAGTGTTTGTAGGTCACTTGTCCTGGAAGTTGGACTTATTTTACGCTCTGAAAACTCTTTCAAACGTGACCTGATTGCATGTATACTCACCTTGAGGCAGGGGGAGAAAGATGCATAAAGGAGAGGAAGACTTACTGTGTCACATGCAGTCTGTCAGCCTAGTGCTCATCCCTTTCTCCTTCAGTTGCTCTTGACGAAGCCCCCGGGCAGCATCCTTCGGTTGTCTGCAAAGGGAAGGAGGGGAACGCACCTGGCTGGAGAAATGGGTATCGGCGCCTGCTGGAGTTTTGCCGACAGAGCTCCTGGAAATCTCACTAAAATAAAATAGTCGTGACTCAAACCTGCAGCAAGTGCCTTTCATTTCTGGCCAACGTGTCCTCTGTCTCTGGTGTCCTGTCCCCTAGCAGGCACTGCCCTCTCCCATATGATGCTTGTCTCCTCACAGCCACCAGCACTGTCCCTGCAGCAGCAGCAGCAGGAGGGGAGGGATGGAGGGTTTCCCACCGTGAAGCGGTGCTCTCTCTGCTTCCTCCCTTTCCCCAGGGAATTACCCAGAGTAATGTCTCTCTCATATCTCCCTTGCTACAGCCATGCCAGCAGGTAATTTCCACAAATCAACTATGATCTGTCTTTCTCCAGTGCAGAATTAATACTATTCTGTGCTGCACTTTAAGGATTTAGCTGCAAAAAAAACCATTTTGCTGTGTTTCCCACATTATCCTTTGAGTGCTGCTGTTGATTATAATTAATTCTTATAACATCCTCAGTTGTGCCAAAGAATATTCCACAGATCAATTAAGTTTTCCAACACCTTTGAGTTGGTAAAAAATAATACACCTCTAATTGCTATTTTGTGATACCTTCCTTCTAAAAATGTCAGTGTTTTACTAGAAAGTGCATGACTTAATGGAAAAGGACCTTTTATATAAAGCAGGTGTGGTTGAGGTTAATATATTTTACTCTGAAGCTGTGAAGGGCTAAGGGCACACACCTTCTCACGTGCTGCCCCTTGGCTGGTGAGCAGTGTTCAAGACATGCTAACACAGTTGCTTTTGCTCATATATCCACTTCTGACTTTCAAGGGGTGTCTTTGCTGCACTGTACTAAAAGTGGTAGATATACTGGAGTTTTTCAGGTACTGGAAAAACCCAGTGATGACAGCAAAGTGAGGGTCTTGTGCTTTTTGGGGAGCAGGTTTTTTTAGAAGTGTTTGCAATGTGTTGATATAACACTGTACTCCAGTAGCAAATTATCCACCTATATGCTTAAAGCGCTTTTAGAAGTGAATCTTGGGCTTTCAAGCTGCTGAAGTACTCTCTGACTTTTACCCAGTATTATTGTGTGTGCTTCACAGACAGAGAAACAGAGGCAGAGGGAGGTGACTCGCTGAAAACCAGATGAATGACAGAGTTGGGAATAGACTCGGGGTCCCCCAGCTCTCAGCACTGTTCCCAGCTCACTGGGCTGTGCAATCGCATTACACTTCGTTTACCATCGGGTCAATCAAAGCCCAGGGAAGTTAAGGGCCTGAGCTTGATGAGGACTGAATGCCCAAAACTCTGGTCGAACCTGATGGAAGTGTTGAACATGCAGGATGCAGAAAATTCAACATTGTGCATCGTAGGCAAGTTCTTCTGTCGCGTCAGGATGCTGCCAGGGCAGAGCCACAGGCTTCTCAGCTCAGATCCTGGGGCTGCAGCCGTGCTGCTGTGCAGAAGAGCAGCGGCTGCAGTCAGCCAAATTCAGGTAGAGAAAGGCACTGAGAAATGCAGGTTTTGACTGGCTTCTCTGGAAAGCTGGATGTGTTGCCTTCTCTCCTTGCACTGCTATTGTTGCTTGTTCCTGAAAACATTTTTTTTTTTCTGAATGAGCCATGAAGTCTTGTGGAGTCTTTATTTGAATATATCTAATGAGAAGAAATAAAACCTAGAAGAGAGAGAGAGAATTGCAAAGGCAGTCCACACTGGCATTTGTCTGTGAGTGATGATTTTGTAGTTGCATCTAAAATGTATTTCCCACCCCCATTCAATTAACAAGTCAGTGTTTTAATGGACGGAACTGACAGCTGCAAAAATCCATCCCCCAGAGAGAGAGAGATTCCAGCACCTGAGAGCAGTCTGCAAAGCCTAGCAGTGCTGTTCCTCATTAGGAAGGAAGAAGCACTGTCCTCATGGGAGCATCCTACTGCTGTAAGGAGCTGCCTCCAGAGGGTTTGGGGGGGTGGGGAGGCACGTTGTGTGGAGGGGATGACTGGAGAGAGAATGAGTCTAAGCCCAAACTAGAAGCTCAGTTTTGCAAAGCAGTAATGCTCTAACCTTCATCCAGTGAAGCCTGGGTTTAGTTTAAAATACATAAAAAGGAAAATGAAGAAAGTGGCCTATGTTTCTTCCCCCCACCTCCTTCCCTCTTTTATCATGGTTTTAAGAAATACATAAGTATTTCCTCAAATGCTTATATAATTTCAGAGCTACTGAATTCCCTTTTCTTGGTTATGTCCTCCTTTTATTTCAGTTTCTAGACCAAATTTATTCCTTGGTAGCCTAAAATATGGTTTTCAGTGGTACAGGATGTGACAGTGGGGTATATATGGGATACGGCTGGTCCAGTGTACAGGACAGCTCCCAGCCTTTTTAGGCAAGTCTGTCTTCTAGAACTATAAGCAGAAAGATGCATTTTACCAAATAACTTGAATTTATAAATGCCATCCATCTTGCAAAGCTCCTGGTGTATAAGTGTATGCATCAACAGAAGATGGATGTGTCCAGCCAGGAGCACCCAGGACCATGCGTGGTTTTCATAGAGCTCTGAGACCGCTTCTAACTAGAGACAGATTCAACAGAAAGTCTTCACAAATAACAGCACCAAACAGAGAAGTGCTGGAATTTCTTGTACACACAAAAGGGGGACTGTGGGGTGTGGGAGAGGTCCAAGCACTGAGGGTGCTGGTGGTGGCCCTGCTGCTGTTTCTTTGTAGGGTTTGTGACATCTAGCCTCGGTTTCCTCCAGCCTGTTTGACTGATGGGTGCAGGGATCTGGCTGAGAGCCCCACTTCAGCCCAAAGTCGTCTGCAAAAGCCAGATGTTTGCCTCTGTAACCACCATAGAATCTTGTCCCCCCAGCTCATGGTTCAGGGAATGCATCTCACTCTGTAAGGGTGGAACGTGGGAGTTAACAAAGCCATTTCAACTTCTTTGTCAGAAACAGGGCCGATTATATGTGTTTCTATCAACAGCTGCCTTTTTCAATTATGCAGAGAGAACATGAGAGGGATAGTGTGCGCCCCACCAGAGGCTTGTAATGATCTGAGAGGTTGCAATGGGTTTCAAACTGAGAAAAAGTGCAGGGGGGGGGGGGGGGGGCGGAAGGGGGCGGGGGACAAAAAAAGGGGGGGGGGGGGGGGGGGGATGCTGAAGCGGTACTGGCAATGTGAGTGCTACAGCAGTCCATTACAGAGAAGTAATAGCAACGCTTCAGCAAATGAACCTTTTCAAGGGTACCAAATAGTTCCTGCCATAGGTTGGGCTGCGTTCTGCAATGTCAGGGTATGCATTAGGCCCAAGAGCAAAGAACTATTTTATCTAACCATACCTTAGCCATTTGTTTGAAGCCTTTTTAACCTCCTGCTGTAGAAACGGCGAACTGCTGATGAGAAAAAAGACCTGGTGTGGTGACACCATTCCAGCAGCCACCTGCTGCTACCAGTGGCATCCACCAGTATTTTCCTGGGACGGGCAGTTTTTCACATGTGTGTGTAACTGCCTCATGAATATGTTTCTCAGATGTCATGGGCAAATACCTTGTGACTGGCCTTCTGTACAAATTGAAGAAACATGCAGTGTCTGGGACAAGAGAGACTCCATAGTGACAGTATAATAGTGCATTACAAAGGAGACTTCTTACAATAGGTTTTAGACCGCCATCACCTTTGTTTCTGTAGGGCATTTTCATATATAAGCTTGGGCCATAGATAGAGAATTCTCTGTTCTACTAGAAAATAGAAAATTGACATAAACTAGAATTTTCTTGATGTCTTTTTACAATAGGGCTATTAGGAATGATGTTGTATCTACCAAACGGTCCAAAATTGCGTCCCTTTCAAGGGAAGAGGGAGCACAACTTACTCTTTAAATTTAAATGTAAACTTGAAGACTAAGAACTGTTTTGTCTGTGTAAATTTGTTATGAGGTATGTTCTTGTAGTAGCTAATAAACAATTTTTTCCTTTAATCTCTGTATACAGGACACCAGCCATGATTGGATGCTCGTTTGTAGTAGACCGAGAGTATTTTGGTGAGATTGGCTTGCTTGACCCTGGTATGGAGGTCTACGGAGGAGAAAATATCGAATTAGGCATGAGGGTAAGTAGCAAAGAAGAGACTTTGTGCCATGTCCATTTGCAAACACGGGGAGCCGGTGGCCCAGCAGAGTTGCTGTCTGACTGATAGGTTATTACACTGAAATAATTGGTATTGCAACACTATCTGGAACTGACAGTCCTAGTAAATGAATGCTGCTGGACTTACCGGCCTAGAGAGAACTGCTAACAGTCAGGAATATGGTTTGTTGGTTCATTCTGTCAGTGTCTGAACCCAGTGAGACAGATTTTCCCCTTTCCCAGTAGCTCTGCTTGTACAGTCACACTAAGTCTTCATGTGCTCATTGCGCCTAGATGATGTTGGATGCTTGTGGCCAAGCAGGGGCAATACCAACAGAAAACCATGGCCAGGCTGGTGGAAGTCAGTTGTAGTGTTCTACATCCCATGCATGATGGATGCTGTGGTATTTTAAACATTAAGGGTCCTCCTTTTAGAATAAGAACTGCAGGGTACAGGTGTTCAATCCTGTCGGACAGGTTAATGCAAAGGGTGGACAGATGACTTTGGGACAGCATCAGTCCACCCTGTGCTTCTGCACCTATGGGAAGTTTGATACTTGTGACCCTTTGTCCTTGTTTTCAAGGTGGTGATTGCCAGCAAGTCTTTCTAAAGTCCAAGGAACATGTCTTTGCTTAGCACTTGAAAATTAGGCCACTTAATGTTGCATGAACAGAGTTTCCTCATTATAAAGCTGACTGTTTAATTACTTTCCCCTTACTCTTTATTCCCTACTTCACACTAACACATCCCTCGTGCATGTAATGCGCTCATTAAAGCATAAATTCTGCTCATGGTGAAACACTGAACATCAAATTAGTCCATTCTTTATCTGACTCTTTTTTTCTAAAATGGCTACAAACTCCTTCACACCAGCGGGCTGAGGAAGAAGGTCATTGCAGCAAGAGTTTATTTTCACATGTGGGTGTGGATTTATTATTCCAGCATCACAAGAGGGATAGGGTTTGTAATCGGACTGTGTGAATACACTGCTTATACTTTAAGGTTCAGAATTCACATAGGGGACAGAAAAACTGCTACCACAAATCATCCAATTTTCCTTAAGAGGGTCAGGCTATTACCAGGATTGTATGAGCTTTCCTTTATCATTGTGCAGGGCTTTGAGCTGTTTGAAACTTTTTTCCACATGGCTGCTCCCAGAATAGATTGAATGCTCTGGCAAAACTCTGGCGTAGCTGATGAATAAGCCTCCTAAGAAATCTGAAAGCTGTCGCTCCTCCTTAGACAAGAAGAACTTGCTGAGTATGATTAGGGCTCCTGGTAAACACAGGCAAAGATTTTAATAGGATTATGAAATGGCACTTGCTTGAAGAGACAAGGATTTGAAGTGGGCGAGGACAGGTTTTCAGGGGTAAGGAACCTGTTAAAGTCTGGAGAAACCTAGGATCTGCAAACCAGCTCTCATTCTTTGGGTGGCCTGTTTTGGGTTTGGGTTTTTTTTTGTTTGTTTGGGGTTTTTTTTCCCCTGTAAAGAATAATTAACTTTACTATTTGAAAAAGGCTTTATGAAAGTACAGGAGTATGTGCGAGTTCGTTCTGAAATAAGCTGTATGTCTATGGCATGGATCTGTTACCCTCTGTTTTCAGCTTGGATCTAATGTGGTAAGTAACTCAGTGTCTGCCTCCTCATTTGCAAGTCCTGCACGTGATCCCCTCCTGTGTATCTTTCAGAGCTGTCAGAAACTAGCCGTGTGAAAACTCACAGGAACCTTTCCTCTTCCCTCTAGGATGCTTATAAATTACAAAGATTTTTTTTTTCTTTTTTAACTGCAGAATCTCAAAGTAACTTGCAAAAAAATCATTCCTTTCCCAAGGCCTGGGGCACTGACCCACGCAGGGCTGCTTGGCGTATCCCTTGCCCCTGCACAGGGGGATGCTCCTGCCCATGTGTGACACTGCTTGTGTGGAGTAATGAAAGACAGAAAAGGGAAGGAGTAAATGAATGAATGAGTAAAGAACAAGAAATAATATAATAATAAATTTAAAAATGGTAGGGAAGTGGTGGCACGCGTTTGGCTGACTGAGTCCCTATTTGAAACAGCTGTAACAATATTCCTTTAAACTTTTTTGCAAGCTATTATTATGTTACTGCTAAAAGGAAAGGGATTAGCCTTGGAGTGTCTGAATTAGATTACATTGCATCTAATGAACCCTCATTTAAATTGTTTTAATAAAGTGATATAGGGAAAGTCAGTAAAACTAATGAGCTGATTTGGGAGGGTACTAGTTGATAACCCAGCTAATCCCCTTTAAATCTATTGTTTATTTAAAAAATAATCATCTTGGGTATTAAACTATTGCCTTTTCCCTTTTCTCAGTTCCATAAATGGAAATATTTAAATAATTAACCAAAGTGATTTTCTGTATTGAGTAAGAAGTGCATAAACTGACTGGGGCTACCAAACCTATTGAAATCATTTGGGGCTCTGCAGCTTTTTTTTAAACTCATATTATTTTTGTGTAAACTTCATATTGGTAAGAACTGCAACACTCTCCTAATGGGGTAGCTTTGCGGTGAAGCCAAAGTCTGTTTGCCAAGCTAGGGAAATTCTGATTGGGTTGAGAAAAAGCCCCAGGTGTTCTGGGAAATAAACGGGAGATGGACACGATTGCAGGTTTGTGATAGTAAGGAGATAGATGGACACTTATATAATGTCATGTTGTACTATATTTTTCAAAGGTGACAATTTCACCAGAAGATGGATAAATACAGGACTGAACTCTGTTATGGACAAATGGTGCTGTTCTCTTAGTGTTCACCAACGAGCTGCGTGAGCACCTAAAAGCTGATTTTGGCCAGGAATTTACAGAGTCAAATTGTGGCTGACTCCCATGTGGATGAGGTGCCCTTCACAAGCACCTTGGCTTGTAAGATACGTTCAGGGAAGCACCACATCACTGCTCTGCCTCCTCGTAACCATGTGGATCCCGTGAGCGGTAGATTGCCCCGTTTTCATTTCAGCTGTCCTTTTTCCAACCCAGAGGCAGAGATAAAGAAAAATAATGGTACTTTCTCCTGCAGCAAAGCTGTGGATGTGTCTGTGCCTGAAGAAGACACCCTAAAGTCAGGGTTGATCGTGTTCATCTTTGCTGATCTTCACATCAAGTGGTCTCTCTGACCTGTAGTACAGAGAGGTGTCCCAATAGTAGGAGAAATTCAAGCAATGCTTGAATGTAGAGGAAGACAGGGATTCCTTTGAGTGAGGGTTACAAGCGTCATGTAAGTTCCCTTCCTAGTGGGAGCTACAGACACACTTAATTACTTAGAAAGGCATGATATAAACACTAAAAGCCTAGTTTACCATTTGACTTAATACAAGCAGTTTATGATGCATCTTTTTATAGCGAGTCATTAATCACTGCACTAAGGATCTCTCTCTTCCTCTGGTGCTCCAGTGATAAAGTGAATGAATTGCTGTTCTTTTTATTTTGTACCCATCAGCTGTAATGGTGGGTGGGAAGAGATCAAGCATTTCTTTTAGAGGATGCTCTAGTACAAATTAAATTTTGCTTCCACCATTAAGAATATAAACAAATTAAATAAAAATATGTTGCCACACTGACAACCGAAAGCAAAACTTTTTATCTTTTATAGCCTATCTTTTATAGCCAGCATTATCTGGCTGTACTACCTTATTCTCCGTAGCACTGTGATATACCTCAAAGGAGGGAATCTGCATCAGCTGATGAATTCTTAGAGGTGATAACTCAGAGGTTTAAAAAAAAAACAAAAACAAAAACAAAACCCAAGCAACAAATGCCACCCACTCCCTGCCCCCAAATAATGACTTACCCAATTTGAGATGTCTTAAAGAAAGCTGCTGGCTAAGAGGTCCTGGCCAGAGAAATCAACTAGAGATGTCCCTAGGCACCAGTGTGACAATTGACTCTATGGTGGACTCTGGAGATGGCTTAGTTCTCCAGCAGAGCTTAGCTGGATGCTTAAGGTTGGTTGTTATCTCACCTTGTGCAGATGTGTCACTTTGACCAGTTTTGGCAGTGGCACGGACCTGGGAACACACAGTTCATCAGGCTTGAAAAGAATTGTCTGAAAAATGGATCAAAGCTCAAATCATTTGCACTTTCTGCTGTTGCGATTGCATTGCTAATGGTGGCCAAGCTGCCTGGCTGAAATCCAACAGGGGTTCTGTATACAGAAATGCAGCCCCACCTCTGGGATTTGCAGAAATACTGAGTGTACTGTAAAAAAATCGTGATGCAGATTCACTGAAATCTCTTTATGAGGAAATAAAACTCATTACCTAACAGATTTTTATACACAAGCAAACCATTGTACTTTCCAAACTTATGCTTTACTTTCTTTAAAACCAGACAAACTCCATTATCTCTCTGTACAAAAATGCCAACGGTAGATTGTTGAGTAGTGAATTCTTGCACTGATTTTATTACCTATAGCTAAGGAGATTTAGATTCCTTTGAGCAGTCAGGTTTAAAATGCAGGTTCTAGCCTGGCATGCTGTAGTAAAAGTGTCACAAGGTTTAATGTATAGCAAATTTTAATTCTGAATTCTGGACAATGCTTTTTACCCTGTGTGATTCACGAGGCCAGGCTCCTAGTCTTAGAGCTAAGAGATAAGTAGGAACCCCATTCTGGAGAGTTTATCAAAATTTCAGGTTTTTTTCCCCACATGCTGTGGTAAAATAGAATTGAAAACTGTACAATAAAAAAAAAGGTTAAACAAAATGTCTCATTTCAGTAAATCCAAAATTACTTCATTTTGATTTTGACCTTTCCTAAACTGTAATTTTTAGTATAAATTAATTCAGTTTCAAATTAAAAGTTTTAAAAGAAAACCTTTCAGTTTGAAGACATTTAATCACTTAAATGATGTTAACAAAAGTTCACAATTGCTGGCATCTGAAAATGTAGTGCACCCTGTCCTTAGACATGCCTGTTCACACTGGAGTGTGATAAATCAGCATTTTCTGCATGAAGGTAAAAG